TGCCATGTTAAATATTGACTAAAGATAGATGCACACTCAGATACAGTGACACGGAAGGCAGAACAACTTGTCATAGTTCTCCATTTGCCAAGTCTTGCACACTTTTATTTAATTCAACAATTACATTTATGCTTTTTAGATATACCAGATGAAAAGACTCATGCAGATACAATCACATGCCTAATGAGCTGTACAATTACTGGTGTTTATTCACAAAACAAAGGTAATTTTTCTCAGTATTTAGCTCAACATTTTTTGCACACTTTGGGATACTGTCTTCCTATCAGCTATATTTTATGGAATTAAACACAGCTAGGAAAAACACAGAGAAGAGAATAAAATCAGAAAGAAGAAACAGGCCAACTGTGAATGTACCCGAAGCTCTCAGTGGGAGACAAGGCTGAAGGCTGTTCTAATATGAAGGAAACATCAACCTTTTAATAGAAGCCTGAATCAAAATCAGCTAAGAAGTCTGAGAAAAAGAAGAGTTTGACAGTACCACACAGGTATAGTCAATAGTAAGGAGCTTTGCCACCCACATCCACACAGCCAGGCAAGCCTTTCATTCATATCCTTCCTCTTACTCCCACTCAGCCCCACAGGTAGTATTCGAAAAATCTTTCGAGCATCCCGATGAATAAAAAACTCCATTTAATATGAAGGCTCCAACTGAATAAGAACACCTACTTAAGTTCTCTGTCAAACTGTTGGAACAAATACTTGGTTTCTACTGAGTTCATGAGAAACTTACTGGAAGAAAGCAGTAACTTCTTGTAGCCTCTCTTCAGCTGGAATCTGAAACATCTCAAGCCACCTCACTTAGGGGGGCAGATTATTCTCTCTATTCTGTCCTCCCATTTCAGAACTTCACAGAGAAAGGGATTTGGGGTACTGAGGGCTTAGCTAATGGGTTCTCCACTCAATGTTTCATTAATTCACCAGTTTCACAAACAATTCTAAGACAGACCTCTGTGACTGTTGCTCATAACTTTCCTAGAGTTATAGCCAGACAGAACTGCCCTGGCTTTTAGTAATTTCGCTCTCATTAGAGACTACACTGGTGAAGCTGGCAAAACTGACTGGTGTTAATTTCATTCTACATCTAATCTAGAAATATACATGTTGAAGAACAGAGGCACTAGCTGTAGATACATGCTGATGTGGCCCATGTTTGAAAAATTTATATTATTAATACATACTGAAAGGGTGCAGGCACTGGAGAACCTATGGCACAAATCTTACTTTATTACTTCTGTACAAATGCAGAATGGAAGCAGGTTTTGTAAGAGACGAGAAGCACCTGACCATCTACATCTTGATTTCAAAAGGCTTTTAACATTCTCTTACCATGAAAACATACAGAAATATGACCAGGTGAAACTGCTGTGTGATGGGTGCAAAACCATTTAAGTGTCCGCATGAGCAACTATTAATGAAACATTGTCACGAAAAGGAAGACTGTCAAACAAGGTTTCAACAGAGTCTGATCTTGGTCTGGTTCTATTTACTTTTTCACTCTTGACCAGGTTGATAGAAAATAAATTAACTCCTCAAATTTCAGCTAAAAGTAAGCCAAGAGGCACTGGAAGTATTCAGAAAGAAAGAATTAGAATTCCAGAAGATCTTTGCAAAATGAAGAAATAGTCCGAAAGAAAAAAGAAAGTATGCTTTTCAACAGAGACAAATGCAAGCCTTTACATTTTAAAAGAAATAATCAAGTAAACAAATAAAGGATGGGAAACAGTGATGACAGCTCTTTCAAAAGGACACAAGGGCTGTCACATGAATCACCCACAACATGCTGTTCTGAAAATGGAAAACATCTCACTGGGATGTAGAAGCTGTAATAAAGCTTAAGAACACATAAAGTAATGGCCCTACTGGGGTATTCTGCCAGTACTGAACTTCAACAAAGAGGTAAATCAGCTGGAGAAAGTCTAGAGAAGGACAATAAGAATAATTTAAGGTATAAAATGTAAGTTCAATAGCAAAAGACTGAAACATTTGGAGCTATATAGCCCAGCAGGGCCACAGAGGGTAGCAGAGGCATAGTGATAGTCTAGAAAGATGCAGAAAAGCTTTTTTAAAGTTTTCTCTATGTCAGTAGTGAGTAAGGTGAGAAATTATAATCTTAAATTACAAAAAAGATAGATTCAGGTTATACTTTAGAAAAAATATTCCTACGAGTACAGACAATGAATCAGTACAATAGATTGCCTGGAAAGATTGTAAAGTCTGCTTCACGTCAGAAGGGGATGGCTTAGATTATTTTGACAGGATGACTTCAAGCTGTATTTATCAGTCATCTGTACCTGTGTTCTTCCTTAAAATATACATACATACTTGCATAGAAGCACACGTGAAACAGATAAACAGAACGCCTCAAAACTAAAAATAGTACATTTGGGAAATAAATACATTGTTAAGTAACAAAACTTACACTATCATCTTTCCAATTTTCATCCCTTTAAAGCCAAAGCCATTTATAAAAGTGGGAGGAAGGTATGGCCAAAATTAAGGGATTATCCAAATATGAAACTACCTAATTGGCATAGGCCTCACAGTATAAAAAACTCTATTAACTTTCATCTGATTAGGACAGTTTGGTCTTCACCCAGCAATAAAATTGTAAAACCCCCTCACTTTAAAGAGAAGAAAAATAACAGAAATAATCAAATTCAAACAGGCATAGCATGTACTTATATATCACAAATTAAGTGGTACTAATTATACAGTAGCTGCCAAACTGCTATGCTTTTGTGATTTTTATAATGATAGATTTCAGGAACCAACAGGACAGGCTGCATAATAATATCTGCAAGTAAAATATCACTGAATGTATACAATAAAATAGCATAATTACTCAGAAAATATGTACCGCATTACTTACCTGTTAACTACATACAAAGGGGCATCACAAAATGTAGATTTATAAAATATGGATAAACTTGCTGGTTATAACCCTGTTTATAATATTTGAGGAAGCTTATTTAACATTTTTTGGCAAAGCTGTTGTGTCTTACCCAGTTTTTTAAAGTTTAGCTTTCAATTGATACTCAATTACTCGCTGCTGTACTGAGAGGTGTTATATCCTGGTTACCTACTTCTAGACAAAAACAATATATCAATGACAAGTCTCCTAAATCTATCAGCAATCTTTGATCTTTAAAATGCAACACTCAGAATGACATACTGATCAAGTACAGGACTGTGACTCAGGAGATCAGAGTTTGAGCCCTGTTTTTCCAACCAGCATTGCAGACACCCTGGGACAAACTTTTTCGCCTGTCTTTGTCAGTCTTCCTCCATCATCAAGAACATTCTGGCCTCCTTTATTAAGCACTCTGAGCCTTGTTCAAATCCTCTACCCACTTCAGCTTGTCTAAGGCATTGCAACTACTTTTCCCTGGTGACCAGGTAGGCAGCTAGAATAACGGCCTTCAACGCCACAAACAATTTTGCATGTCAAGATAAGCAGGGTGATTTCAATCTGAGGCATAATTACGCTGGTGATACACCTATCCTACCTCCTCTGCCAAACCATCTCAAACTAGAGAACTTGCATGTGGATGTTTTTAGCTTCTGTGTGTGAACACAGCTCGTGTTCACCCAGGCATGGCAGTATGTCACTAACTTAGGAATGTGAAGGTTCTCTGAGAGATCAGACAGGGTTATCCTTTGAGATCTACTGCAGAAAAAAATGTATATAAAACATAGGTATCAGTAGTGATTATCAGTAGTGCTATTCAGCTAGCAGTACCGGTACAACTGGTATGCCTCTGACTCCCAGAGGAAAGAGAATGGAGCTTGGTTGAAATCAGTTTTTTCTCCCCCTCTCACAACAAAAAAGAAAGGACACAAATGGCAGGTTTTGTTCAGAAAGTATTTGGTATGAGAGAGTACTTGTTGTAACAGGACTCTGAGACTATTTCTTGTAACTCTATGGCTCATTGTGTATATTCAGCAGCCTGGGAACCAACTGAAGTGATTTCAGTTGCAAAGGCTTTCAGTATTCAAAAAAACTTTTTGGATTGCAGTCATTCAGTCATTAAACCTTTTTATTACATTCAAGTTCAGCTGGGGCCAGGATAACAGTCTGGAGCTCAAGCCAGGAAAAATGAAAAAAAAAAGCTTGTCAGTCAGAGAGATGCCTCAGAAAGAATACGGCCTGCAGGCATGCTTTATCATTTGAAGGGACTTCCCTACCTGTGCTGAAACGAAAATTAACAGCTGCAGGCTCCTGTTGGACCTTTTTCTGTTAAATAAATGTGAGCTAACCACAATGTTCTGACAGGGTAGCTGCATATTTTCCATTTGGATATGGATCTTGCCACAGCTGCCCATGCTCTTGCCACCTTTCCTGAATTATTGTTCTACGCTTGTTTCCCCATGGGGATGACATGACACATTGCAGCTAGCAGAGAAGGTATTCTCCTGGTGACTCTGCAGTGTTTTTCACAGAACACAAAATGCAGCTGTACTGCAAAATCTGCCTGACTCCCAATCATTTTTCTGGGTGATGTTCTGACCTACACAGTTTGGATTGAGACTGCCACAGATACACATGCTCTCAGTTTCTCTCCCTCCTTCTCTTTAGAACCAAAATGATTCAAAGTAATTCTGGGTGGTTTTTTATGCATGGGAATTACTACTAAAATTAGACAAATAGGATGCATTATATACTCTAAAATGAATCATAAATAAAACACAGAAATTAGTCATCACATTTGCATACTGGTGATAATCAACAGTTGACTCTTCCTAAATAAAGACATTGTTTTAAAGTTATTTAAATCCTGGGATCCCAGGCAATGTAAAAATAGATGATAACTTCATCATTCCAAAGCAAATAGCACAGCTTCTTTCTGGCGTGTGCTCTACTTGAGCAGAATACTGATTGCACTTGCTATCTTTTCAGCACAGATATGAGCTATCTGTTCTATTAATTTCATAAACATTTTTAAATGGATACTGAAATGGATGTTACCAGTAGGACAGACCTATCTCATTAAAGCCACTGTAGCCCAGCTCTTGCCTGCTTAGTCCCAGATCTTCAAGGTCCATGCACTTAAATCCAGGTGGGCACTGGTAACCTTCTTCTAGCTCTCTGGAACAGTGGGTGTCTGGGATAGCTAAATTATTCCAGGTCACATTTCTGTGAAAAATACAAAATTAAAGTGTTACATAAACTCAACCCATAGCAAAACTAAATACTTGAAAGCGAGAGGACTAAAGTGGAAAGTACATCAGCTATTATTTTTGCTATCTGATGTTCTTTGCTATATGTTTTTTTCCTTAATTAAGCACTTATTGCAAAGGGCAAGCCAACTGACTCCTAAGACTTCAGTCTTATATAATTCTAGTACAAATAGCAACAGCAGAATTTTCATACTAATGTCTAGAGACCCCATCAAAAGTGCAGACTCTCTAAGACACACAGGAGGTAACATACAGCTGCACGAACAGTTCTTTAATGCAGTTCAGACACTGCTTCAGGCTCCTTTGCAAATACCAAGAGTGTGTTCAACTGCAGTCAATACTGTGACTTTGACTTCCACACACACTACCTGAGTAAGCTTTGACACTCTTTAAAAGGATCACTGTGGATGACTTGCCAGCCACCTGAGGAAGAACTTCTTTACTTTGAAGGTGACAGAGTACTGGAACAGGCTGCCCAGAGAGGTTGCGGAGTCTCCTTCTCTGCAGATATTCAAAACCTGCCTGGATGAGGTCCTGTGCAGCCTGCTCCAGGTTAACCAGCTTTGGCAGGGGAGATGGACTAGATGATCGCCAGAGGTCCCTTCCAACCCCTACCATTCTGTGATTCTGTGACACCTTGGTCAGGCCAGGTTTCCATCGCAGATGGACAGTCACAGTCACAGGCAAGAAGTCAAATCATTACAGGTTTAGTGCAGTTAGTACCTAGGTATTACTGTGACAGTATCTAGGTATTGCTGTGACTGAAACAGATCTGATTCACTTTTAGTTCACTCCAGTAATGACTTGGTAGAACAGGTGAAAAAATTTGCACTGGTTTGAACTGGTTCAAACTGATTTATGTTGGTAAACGTAACTCTCAAAAGCAGAAAGATCATGAGACAAAGGGCAGCATGGCAACACAGTGTGTTGGGCATTTTTTACTGTTGCCAGAGGCTGAGCATCACTTGTCGTTGCAACTTCTCTGGCACCTGGGGCTGAGCTGCTGAAAAGAGTCTATCACACTGCACCAGAATGGGAATTCAGGTACGTTCAGCACTAATGGACATAGAAGCTAAAAGGAGAGGGAGGACAAGTTTGTACCTCTCTGGTCTGTTAAATCTCTGCTTGCGGCATGTACACATGACGATGGGTATTCAAGTACTCCCAAACTTTGGTAAGGAGAACCTTAAGCAGTTGATTCCTCCTGAGCACTGATAGCACCCAGTTAATAATTGCAATACATAGTCCTTTGCCAAAACCAAACACTGGTCACCCCATTTCCCAAGAAGTAGTTTAGTTAAGAGGTAACCCTAGCAAACGGCCCCTCTCCATCCTGAGCAGGTCCCTGTTAGGGTCTACAAAGCAACACAGCACAGTATTACAGCACAGAAGTGAGGATTCACGTTACTTGTGCTATGAGTCAGCTGGGTAAACCAGAGAGAAGAAAGGTTGCAATATGACATGGCTCCAACTATGCTGAACAGGTACACCGCTAAGCAACATCCGTTTTTCTCCTTGCTTCTCTTCTCTCATCCAGCAAATGAAAATCCTGATTTTTGGTTCAGTCCTAGGGCAATTTCAAATCAGACATTAAAAGCTAATCACAGCGAGTTCTGGTCTGAGAAAAAAAAACAGTTGACAGCATTTTTCCATTCATGTTCAGGTTGATTCTGACTTCCTGGTCACAGCACAGACTTGATACAGAAACACCCAAAATGAATTGCTGAAAGTTACAAAGTAAATCTTGTAGTTTTCACCCTGTTATCTTGAGGCTTCAGACCAGTGCCTTAAAACTCACCATTTTAACTAATCTTGCTTGTCCACAGAAAAGGTTAAACTTTTCAGTCTGCCCTTTAGTATACTTTGTAACTTAATGTTCTTCTGAAAGTCCTCTTCTTTTAATCTAACTCAGAGTTGCATTTTGACAACTAAATTGGGTGAAAGGAAGCTTTAATTACTTTATTTTTCTTGCTTTTATGCACTGCATGCAATAGCAATACATTAGTCTAAATCCGTCAGTGTGAAACTAAAGCTTCCTACACACATTTTCCTAGGCAATTATGAATGCAGAGAAATAACTGTAGTTGTACCCATTCTGTAGTCATTTCTTCACGATACAAGAAAGCCATACATATCTGCATGGATGCACACACAGACATGTACAGCTCCAGCTGAAGATTTAAACAACACCCTGAAATTTAGCTATGTGTGTTAACTAGAAAGATGCACAAGCATATATACACTCACTCCACTTTTTGTAAACATGCTCAGTACACGTCACTCAAGAATCTAAAAATTCATCTGGGGACCTTAATTCCTTTATACTAGAATATGTTAATTCATACCCAGTTGTATGCTTTAATTACATTAGATATGTGATACTGCCATCAAAGAGCCATTATAATATACAGAATTATCATAAGACAACATTTAATGGATATTTTCAGAAATGAAAATGAATCATTGGCTCGAGCACATTCAGAACCCCAGATACTGGCATCTAATGAATTTTATATTATGGTTTGCATTAGAAAATCCCTCAGATCCAACAGGCTAGCAGTGTTAGGGCATATTATTAAAAGTATTGCTGGCTCATTCACCACAATGCAAAACACTCATTTTAAGTGCTTCATTTAAACCTAGGTCATTTTTATATCCCATCAAACCTCTTTCTGAAGAAAAGCTGTCCCCATGCACTGAGTATGATTTAGGCTAAAAAGTAAGAATCTCTGCTTCTAGTACCTGTACAGATATAGGCTTTTTTTTGACCAGTGTCACTAGGCAATTTGTGTTCTGCCTCAAGACAGTAAATAAGCATAGACTAGTCTACATGGACTAGACAATGTTAGACATCTAGTCTAGAAGTGGCTAGAATACCAGACATTTTCAATATCAGATGATTTAAATTGTTCTATTCCTTCACAGGCCATACTCAACATCCATCACGTACTGAGATGCTGAGTCAGCACATAACTAGTTTTAAGCATCTCAAAACTTTGATTAGACAATGTGCTTAAATATCTTGCTGAACAGGGTGCCTTGATAAAATTATGAATTCTTGCAACATGACCAAAGAAATAATTCATCCTAATAGACCAACTGAGCATTTTTATGCAGAGCATTCAATGTGCATGGAGTACAGCATCAGCCCAACAAGGAAGCAGAGAAATTAGTTCTGCACAGGAATGCAAAGGATGCAGAAGGAGAATTGAGTCCACATTTGCTTGGTAAGAATCCTCCAATAATAAGATTGTTGCAAAAGACATAGCAGTGCTACTCTGACATGTTTTTAACTGCCTGAAGAATGTTCTGACTACATACATACATACACCACGAGAAGTACCCGAATTGATGTATCTTGGCAGTACATGCGCCTGT